AGTTTTTTGGTGATCATTTCGATAGAAATAAATTTGGTGATCAAAAGTGTAGTTTTTTGGTGATCATTTCGATAGAAATAAATTTGGTGATCAAAAGTGTAATTTTTGGTGATCAAAAAAATACATATCCTTCTTTGATTGTATTGTTGATACATTTTTAACAGACATTTTTCTGTTTAAAGAATAAAATCAGAAAGGAACAAATTTTATATTTCCATTAAATGTTCATCTTTTTTATATTCAAGGAGGCGAGTGTTACTGTAAACTTATTTCGTATTGCACCAACTTCGCGAACTAATATTACACTAACTACAATAGACCCATTTCCATCTTTTATACTAGCTTATACTATGCTGGTCTATTTATTAAAAAAGGGTCCCTTTTAGTCTTTGAGAAATATGACATATTCCTCAAAGACTAAAAGGGACCCTTTTTTAAAAAATAGACCAGCATACTGTACAACTTGTGTACTTTAAACTAGTATAAAAGATGGAAATGGGTCTATTGTAATTAGTGTAATGTTAGTTTGCGAAGTTGGTGCAATACGAAATAAGTTTACAGTGAGCACTCGCCTCCTTGAATTAGGCATGCACGGTTAACCGTAACCGGTCATAATCGTAACCGGTCATAACCGTAACCGGTCATACCGGTCATAACTGTAACCGGTCATAACCGGTCAACCGTAACCGTAACCCAGGCCGTGAAAAATGAGCCATAAATGACTCATTTATGGACCATATATGGCTCATTTTTAGATCCTATCTCTCCCACATTTATCTCATTTATTATATTATAATATAGTGATAATTTTGTCATTTTTCTATATGGACTATAAACGATGAATGCCGTTTGTTTGTACGAACGACACACTGATGCACTTCAAATGCAGAAAAATGGTCACTAACGTACACGCGGAAATTAGTGTCATTAGTAGCAGGATACAAAATAATCTTAATCAGCTTGCGCTCAAAGAATCCAAACAAGATTGTATATACTATTCTTTCTTTCCAAATAAATTATTCATTATTTTTCTACAATCAGTACACGAAGCGGTTATTAACGGTTACGGTTAAACGGTTAATAACCGTAACCGTTGCATGCCTACCTTGAATATAAAAAAGACGAACATTTGATGAAAATATAAAATTTGTTACTTTCCGATTTTATTCTTTAAAACAGAAAAATGTCTGCTCTTATAAAGATGTCTGTTAAAACAAGTAACGTTCATCTGCGATTCACTGACTGAAAGTCCGTTTTCGACTAGCGGTTAGTCAAAACGCCTTTGTAGCAGACCGTATTCTGTCTGTGCAGAGATATCAGCTGTTCTTCCGGGACTGTTAATCCTTTTAATTCTGTTGGTACATCACCAAGCCATATTTTGTTTGCCGCAGAAAACTTCGGAATTTTCGGATTTTCTTGCTTGACAGATGTTTCCAACACGAGTCACATACTGAACAAATGGTATCATCATTCGGTATGTCGTCGCTCTTTAAATCAAGACCGTGAATATATAAAATGGCATTCTTATAACAGAAATAACTTGAACTAAGAGCCATGAAAGGTTCATACACTGAAATACGTAAAAGATAAAATACTTCTGAAATTCGTGCGAATTGCAAAACTTACACTGCCCGTCTGCTGATACACAGTCGGGAGCATCCAATTCCAAATTTACCGCCATACTCGACGCTTCTGGTGCCGCAAATGAAGAATTAAGACACATTTTAGTATTTCGCCTCAATAAATCAACGTTTGGAATTTGAGACATTATCATCGTATTCATAGACGATTTGCGAGATAACGCGTTACATATACAACATGAAGCTTCTGTTAATGACAGCATTGACATTTTCTCATTAAAGCTTTTTAAACATCGAAGTTTTGTTTCCAATAAAATAGCGGCCGGCCATTGCTGTTCATCATTTGTTTGGTTAAGTCTTCTAAGCACTTTACGTTGTCTTTCTTTTCCAAGATCTTCACTTGTCTGATTAAGTCTTCCAAACACTTTACGTTGTCTTTCTTTTCCAAGATTTTCACTTGTCTGATTAAGTCTTCTAAACACTTTACATTGTCTTTCTCTTTCTCGAGCTTTGTGAAACGCCTTTTCTCTTAATTTTTGATTTCGCTCTTTAACTTTTTCGCCTCCTGTTGCTGTCGAACAGCTTGGCCAAAGACGCTTATCGGTTGACGTGAAAGATTTTATTTCTGGTACCTAAAATGGATTTCATTGCAACGAGACAGCAACTTTATAAATTCAATAGTACTAACTTTTACTGCAGAATTTGATTGAAATGTAGATGTAATCAGAATTTGAGACTGAGCGCTGATACAAGGAAGTACTAAAGGAACAAAATGATTCGCGGTCCATGTTCCTTTGCTGTTACGTCGTGCTTCAACTTCGTGTAACGCATGTGTCTAGAGAATTATTATTGTCTTATTTGTAAAGCTCGTCTTTTTTATAGGACTATACGTATAATTACATTTATTTCAATGGTCACTATAATCAATGTTCGGGTAAACACTTTCTATATTGCATTGCAGAACATCGCAGAGCGCAATTATTTCGTACATTTCCGAGAATGCGTAATTCCTGCACACATATCTGATATGTTCTTGTATAATGCCGAATGAGTTTCCATATTTTGTTTCGTATTGCTTGTAATTATTTATCAATTCAATAATTGTTCGTACTCGTAGTTCAATATGTGTTATTTCAAATTGTGACATTAGTCTGAGAATTGAATAATATAAACAGTTACCATTGCTATGCGTCTCAATTGGAATTAAACCTTGAACGATGATATTACTACATTTTCTTAAATATGTTTGAGCTACTCGATCAGCCATATGTTTTGACGGATCAAAATACATCAATGGTATAAAATTCAATGGACCTATGAAGTTCCCTAGTTCTAGAATCTGATAATAAGTACTGCATATTTCATTGAAATAATCACTAGCACTCGCCGATAACTGAAATGTTTCTAACAATTTTTCAAACTTCTTATCCCGTGTCATTGTATCACAAAGGCCACACGATACATCACCTGAAGGTCCCCAACAATAAACATAAATGTTACTCATTTTGAAGAGTAATAATTTTTAACTATCTGGAAAAGAAGTACAAACAGTTGAGTATCCATTTGAAAATGTTTTTTCTGTCCCTTTAGTAACCTATGCTCTGAAGATATATTCAACTTAGTGTCTGAAATTGTTTCTTTGAAAAATTTGAACATAATATAATAAATCGAAAATTTACACAAAAATTTTCGGCTCTCTAAGCTTGACAATGTCCATTCTAATTTTTGTTTTAAAAAACTGAAATAGTTCATTGAAGATAACACGATGGTATTCAACTAATTACATTCAGAGAGATTACTCCATGTTTAGAAAACTTTAATTTCAGATAATACAAGTGAACTTTTACTAACAAACGTTCGAGTTTTGGTAGTTGACAAATTAAAAGAGATAATTGTTTAATTCTGCAAAAAACCTATTCATAAACTTTTTATATTAGACGACATTAGTGACATATCGCTGATATCAATTGCTTTATGAAAATCTAACACACATTTAATTAATGAGGGAATTTGAAGAGCACTTTTACAGATGGTACGCAGATCATCTTTATCTTGTATTTCATCTGTGTTGATGGTTAATGATGACAGCAATTTTAGGCTTTGTAATTCAGCCATGAAATGTAATAATTCTGGAAGTTTAATACCAACTAATGTAATCTAAATTTTGAAAAAACTTGAATTTGAGATAACACAAGTGAACTTTTACTAACAAATGTTCAAGTTTTGGTAGTTGAGAAATTAAAAGAGATAACTGTTTAATTCTGCAAAAACCTGTTATTAAACTGAAATAGTTCATTGAACATAAAACGATGATAGTCAACTAATTACATCCAGAACACATAATTCTTTTGGTGTATTAATACTTCTAAAAAATATCTGTAGATTAGGAGTTGAATACTGAATTTCTTCAAACAATTCTAGCATAGTGCGCATATTTCACGATCACTTTACAATTTGTGTTTTTGTTATTTTATTACAAATATCATAAAACACTAACGCAAAAACGAAACAAAGCCGCTTGAACTGTAGCAGGTAACAAAGCACAAAATCTGCTAATCGCACAATGTAGTGACATTGTTATTCTTTCGTTCTTTTACCACCTTTTGTATCTTTCTCGAATTTAAGTACGATTGCCAACAGCTCTTCATCACTAATATAGAATGGATCAACGTTAGAAACTCGAACAAAACATTTGCTATCTGTGCTGGCGGCTGCTGGTACTGTTCGCATTTCATCTATTTCTAATTCAGTTGTTTCCGAATGCAGCTTTTTGGATGAACTGCTGTCTGTAGAATCAACCGTAAGCGTCCGTTTGGTCGATAACTTATTCTGGTTTGCTTGAAAAACCAAAAGAGAGAAATGTATGTACGTATCAACGTTTTATACTCTAGCCAGAGGTGGGCAAGTCCGACCATTTCGAAGTCCAAGTCAAGTCCAAGTCCAACGGAAAGTTTTTTTCTCAAGTCCAGGTCAAGTCCAAGTCCACTGAAGCTCAAGTCCAAGTCAAGTCCAAGTCCGATAAGAAATGCTTCAAGTCTGGACTTAAGCCCAAGTCCGGACTTGGACTTGCCCACCTCTGATTCTAGCCTTAGGCGATACGAGTTGGATCTTCGCTTTTTTTTCTGATCCGCGTGTGCTATATGTTTTGCTATTACTTTCATCCTTAGCTGCAAAGAAAATAAAACTGTGCATATAGTTTTCCTGTTGCACGATACATCCAATGGCACTTACTTTCATCCATAAATCAGATAGAAAATTTGCGAAACTAAGATAATGTTACAATTGAAAAATTAATTTTTTTATATCTAAAAGCGAAGAAAACAGTTGTGAGAAGATTAAGTTCAATTACTAACTGTGTACAAATAACAGTCAGACTAATTCCTCATTACACTACCTATAAACCACGGACTTCCCGTACGGCTGATAAACGTATCCGGTGGTTATAGAATACTACAACAATACAAGGAGAATAAACAGGACAGGAAAATAAAGAGGACAAGAAGTGCATCCTTCTTGAGCCCTCAATTCTCCTCTGACCTCCATCTTTCCTGTCCTCTCCATCCTTGCTGTCCTCTCAATCCTTCCTGTCCTCTCCATCCTTGCTGTCCTCTCAATCCTTCCTGTCCTCTCCATCCTTGCTGTCCTCTCAATCCTTCCTGACCTCTCAATGCTTCTCGTCCATTCCATCCTTCCTGTCTTGTCAATCCCTCCTCTGCTCTCCGTCCTTGCTGTACTCTCAATCCTTCTTGTCCATTCCATCTTTCCTGTGCTCTCAATGCTTCGTGTTCTCTGAGTCCTTCGGCACCCTTCTTGTCTTGTTTACCTCACTTGCCTATCGTTTTTGTCCTGCTTGTTGTTTTGGCGAACTCGCGGAGTAGCCGCAACCGTAACAGAGTATTCGATGGCGAGCAACTAGTAGTTTTTATTAAAGATAGAATTTTAGGTAACTTTCGTAACCGAAAAACAAAAAGTACAAGAAAACGAAAACAAAACAGAATGTTTTTATTAGAACAGCGGAGGGAGTTCTCTCATTGAAAATAGGCCGAATCTCCAGCAGCCATCAGCAAACACTGGACCTGACATTGATGTTGACGGCGGAATTGCTGTTTGTCGCTAAACAAAAAGCTGGTTTTAGTACTAAACAGAATAGACTGCTCGAGCTTACCTTTATCCACCGTGTTTTTTGTCGACGTAGTTGTTTTATCCTAGCCATTGATTCTCTTCTGCTGTTTTGCTGCAGCATTCGTCGTTCGGCCACTTTCTCTTGGCGCTGCTGAAATATTCACGAATATAAGTAACGTGAATATAATCAATTGCGTACTTACTAGCCGATCAAGCCATTCTTCTCTAAAGTGGGCAGATTCCTGCCGATTTTGTTCAACACTCAAAGGGTCTGCCATCCAACCTTTTTCTTCGTCATCCCTCCGCATTTGCTCCTGGAGAATCACATAGCCACACGGCGTTTGTTCTTTGTGTTTCCAATCTAAATAATTACTTCGATTATTTCCATTCATCAACAGTGTATATCCATCTGTTTCACTCACCAAATGTTCCACCTGTCCCATTTACGCGCATGCAGTCAGGCATTATTTTCAGGATTGAATAACTGAATAATGACTATACTTTGATCTGAAACAAACAAACCAAATCCAAACAATACTTCACACATCGAAAACCAGACACATCTACACATAACCTCGACCCAATCATTATAAACTGAATCAAGTAACAATTCTTTGATCTAAACCAAAAAGTGTCACTATTTTACAGGCTCAACAGCACACATATTACTTTTGAGAGTTATCACTCTCTACGTAAGAACCCTTGTGTTTGTTTCGATTCTACAGGAAACGAAGGTAAGTGCAAGCTGAAACAATCATTCCTTGTATTTCACTTCGGTTTATTAAACAACAAAAATATGAAATGGTCAGTCCAACGATAGCCGCACTTCCCGGCTTTTTAGACAAAAAAGTGAGAAATTTCTTTTTGTCGCTAGTGCTCGGGGCCGCGCGTACAAAGATGTCGTTCGTCTACTACTGCGCTCGGACGGACGGACATTTCTTTTGTATGAGTTTTGTATTGAGTTTTCTAGGTTTTCTGAGTAACTGTAGTCCTCTTCTGTTGCTTGGTTACAGAACAGAAATCCTATCAAATGGCAATTCTAGATGATAAAAAACAAAGAGAAGAAAATATAATTCAACTATAGAGATCAAATATACCGCTTTCAGTCTACTCCTCTTTTGATCTTAAAAAAAGCGAGTTTTCGAGACAAGAAGTCTATAAAAAAGAACAAACTTTCTGTTTTAATCTATATATTCATTTATTCAATGTCCAGAAGAACCAGTGCTCATCCAATATTTCGCCAACTTCTCAGATTAAAATTAAATTAACTAGAAAAGGTCCATCTCCACTTCTTATACTAATTTGAAGTACAGTCTCTTATTCCTCTGCCAGAGGAATAAGAGAGGAATAGTCGGGGAATAGAGGAATAGCGACCGACCGCCGGAAAACATTTTGAAACGTTCTCTAAGTAACTCGATGAGCTGTATCCAATCAGTGCTCCATCCAATACCCAGTATAAAAACCTGCATTTAAAAAGCTTTAGTATGACAAGGGCAACATCCATTATGATTAACAGTAGAAAGACTAACGAGGGAACCTTTCGAGGTGATTGTAGCGCGCAAATTTCTGATTAAAATGATACATCCCCCAGCTCTACACGACCTTTCTTTGCAAAGTTATAGAATTTATAAGAAAAGCCTTAAATTGTTCATTGTCAGCTCAAAGCTACAGAAATAAGAAGGAAAGAATTAATTTAGGGCTCTTCTTATAAATTCTATAACTTTGCAAAGAAAGGTCATGTAGAGCTGGGGAATGTATCATTTTAATCAGAAATTTGCGCGCTATAATCCTGCATTATTGAGAAAGGCTTGGGTTATTTTTTGGGATTTCTGAAAAACCGGTTTTCCAGAAGACTGGATCTTCTAAGAGCTATAGGCCAGTCCATGATCATATTCGGAATCAGCATGGTCGATAACATATAACGCACTAGATGTCGATCAAAAAGCTTTTAATCACCTCGAAAGGTTCCCTCGTACGATATGTACGTACTTCTACAAAAAACTATTATAACCACTATTTATCCGGTAAGGGAAGCCGTCACATTGTTCATCGCTTTAAGCGCTTTCTGTATTCGATAGATTTATTCACATAAGCGAAAAAAGAAAAGTAAGAAACGATAGAGAGTGAACCAGAGATTTTTTTCCTAAAATAGAAGAAGAGAATAGAAAAGAACGATACAACGTTGATATATGAGATATACGATAGATATTGTTCTAAGTTTGAAATTTGTTTTTGCTTTTGATCCAAATGATCGCTGCACTCACTATAAAATTACTCTATATTCTGTGAACTTAACAGATTAAAATAAAACTAATTAGAATGTACACCTCTTCGTTTTCTATGTCAGTTTGAAGTACACAAGATATACTATACACCTAGCCGCTTTTTAGAAAAGGGTACAGTCTACTTTATGAGATACAGGGCTGTCAATAACGGAGCTGAATATGAGACATAGATGTACTTTCTCTGCCAATTAACAAGCGAAATCATTTTTTAAGGAGTTCTTGACTAGCATGACTTTCCGGCTTTCTCTTCGGGTCATGGTAGTCTTAATTCTGCATCCTATGTTCTGCCAACTTCCAGAATAATAATTAAATTAACTATAAGGGATCCATTTTCACTTCTATATAATCCACGCACTAGTTCAGTTAGATGGAACTTTGATGTTTTCTTCTTTCTATTCATACTACAGAGACACAGATATAAAGCAAGAAATGGAGAAGAGAACAAATTTTATCGTTTTATCCAAAAGAAAGAGTCTCTTCACCATGAAATTAGTGTTTATTCTGGCAACTTCCCAGAGTAAAAAGTTAACAAATTTGAAAGTACCCTTCTCTAGTTTTTTCTGACAGTTTGAAGTACACAAGTTGTACTCTATGCCAAGCTATTTTTTGGAAAAAGGTCTCTTTTAGTTTTTGAGATATAGAAATCTCAATATCACAGACTAAAGTTAGTAAAATGTATGAATTTCAGTTTAATTTTAAAACTTGCACGAGTTTGGAATGACCAACAAAACTTTCTTGATCACTTTTCAAAACATCATAGTCAGGGAAGCCCAAGTTCTACATTTATTTTTTCCAGTTTCTGATACTATATAACAGCGTTTCCCAATTTATTTTAGCCATGGAACCCTTTCATAAAATTTAAAACTTTGCGGAACCCCAGTAGTATTTTGACATAATATCATGCATAATATCTAATAATATGGAGCTACAAAAATATCGGAAAACATAGATTATTTAATAAAACTATAATTAGAGGGTGTTTGATTCATTTTTTATTATATTTATCTTTAAGGAATGGGTCCATTCTCAGCTGAAACAGGCGTAAACAATGTACTTTGAAAATTTATACTTTTGCCGCACTGCACCAAATTAGGTAAAAATTGGGCGCTATGTGCAAAATGTTTCAGTGAATCCGCCAGCAGGTTCCTCATAATTCTACTTTGACTTCTTTTCTGGTGTCGACATAATCTACGTGATTTTTGCCTAAATTTTATTTTTCTCATTGGTTGATAAATAGGCACCAATGAAAAAAATAAAACATAGGCAAACTTGAGCCTAGTAGACTAAAGCAAAGCTATCGTTCGTATAATTCCAGACCGTGAACCGCCTATATACGGTATGTTTGAATATTTTTATGGTCTTGTGCTTGTACATGATTATTTGAAACATAAGTGACTGTTCTGGCTAAGAACACTAACCAAAACATTTAATAGTCTTTGAATTTTTCACATGAAAAAGTCGCTGTTTTTTAATACAATCTTTTTTAAAATGAAAATAAAGCAACTTTAGGGAATTTGACGACATAATATGAAATATATATTTCATGTTGAAGCTTGTTCGAGGATGCAGTTCAGAACATGCCAGAAAGTTAAAAACTTTAACATATCGGGTGGTCTTATAATTTTTGACAGTACTGTAGATGCACATATCAAGATATCACCTAAAATAATTTTTGACAAAAAATTGAAAACAGTGTATGGCTACAATAGACAACACGATAAAGTGATCTTAACACTGCGATAACAAAAAAGAATTGACTATTAAAATTAAAAGGAAACATACACACGTGTATACGATAGACTAACGACAAAAGAAGAGAACAACGTAACCATGAGCACAACAGACATACAGGCGGTCTGTTCTTTTCTTTTTCTCACTATATGTGCTATATATAAGTTTAGAAACATAATATAAGGTATAACACAGAACAACCAAGACTCGCGCCGCGACGTTTTAAAACTCCTCTACTTAGAACGCAACTCAGCGATAAAAATCGCGATTCACGGCGCAACTACGCAAATACTACTGTTTATATATCTGTGATTGTCTTGGCTCGACTCACCATATCGCGAATCGTACCGCGATACAGCGATAAGATAGTGATCGCGCTAAGAAATATTGACTTGGTTTTTTGAAAATTTATAACTTTTCAAGTTCTGTAGCGAAATCGCGAATCTATAGCTATCGCGCCGCGACATAGCTACAGTTGGCGAATCTTAGAAACAGACTTTTTTTAAAATAAGATTGGACCAAGAGTACGGCACGAGTTTAAGAGTCCAGCGCGATCGCGATGGGAACACAAGATTTTTTAGCGATCGCGCCGCGCCTGAGGCGCGAAAGTTGACTTGGGAAGAGCTATGTGTTTTAATGTGACAGTCACTTTGTCAAAATATATCTAAGGCCGCCTAAACATGTTGGAGCAAAACTGTGAGCAGGAAAGTTGTTCGGCATCAAATTCTAGGATTCTTCACCAGAGCTTTTCAAAAGTTTTTTCCTTTAATTCCTAAAATAGATTTTACAACTTTTTAAGTTTTAATATTCCATATTTCAGAATTTTGAAACCAAACAAATAATAAAATGCAAAAAGTTCTGATGAGGAACCCCAGAACCAAATAGATCTAGAAGAACAGAAACACATCAATAGAAACGATGTCTAGCCCATCTTTAGACCCTAGCCTTCCAGCAAAGATATGTGACACTAGAACCTGTGACGAAGTCTCATTTAGATGCAAGAAAGATTCCAACGAAAAAATGATGTTCTTATCTTTAATTGCTACAGTGTTTTTCTTGTAGAATCTGCCCACTTTTCTCGAAGAAATCAGATTGTCTTGACACACTTCAGCTAGAAAAACAGAGTGCGCGCATACACTGTTCCCGCTGAAAACAGTGAGAGATGGTAGATAAATAACTCGAGCTATTTTGCGCTAAAAACACGTTTCTTGCTTGCGCTCAAGCTCATTTTCATCACAACTGCTGGGAAAACTGTAGCTCGGTCTTTTTTCAATTACTATGCAAAGAAACTGGTCCACTTTTTCGCAATATGTTTGAGAAAAAGAATAACTGTGCTTAATTTTAAGCATGACAGCCATTTTTGATTTGTATTGGTTAGCGCACAGAAGCAGTTAAATCCTATCCTGTTCGTATGACACTGTTCAGTGTTGAAATAGTAAACTCACCACT